ATTTGTCTACCCACAGAGCACTTAGAAGTTCTTATGAACTCGTTGAAACGTGTCCGTGCGTTGCAGATCGAATTGGAATTTGATAAGTGTTGGTTTTTAGGGGAGGGAAAACCGGAGCAACCGGAGAAAAACCTCTAGCTCTCGGAGAAAGGGATAGAACCTGTCCAACAACAAACAAACATTGTTAAAAACCATGGTGATACAAAATTTGGGGGGTAAATGAGGTGCATTTTGTTCTATGTGAAAATGGTGAATGCTGCGAATAAATCCACCCTTAGAAATCTGTGACGTCAATTGATTTTAAATACTGTTTCAAACAATTGATTGATGTCATTATTATTCAAAATGGTGACACGCGGGAAATTCAAAGCGAAAATAGCCTAAACATCAAGTCCAGTTGTGGTACATTTAAAATGTCTTTATGGATCTGGTCTGGAAAGTAATTTTAAATATAGCAAAACTAAGTCGTAGGCTTCGGCTTCGACTTTGGTTCAAATTATCACAAAGCTATGGGCCTGTCCTCTTTGCGCTCACTTTAGGAACGTCAGGTGGTATTTCAGGGGCCATATAAGTGATAAAATTTGCCAAGACGAGTATTCGCGGTCAGGTTTTTATACTCTATCAAAACGAGAAGACGATTTAATAGCCATGCAAAATGTATAGTTCGAGTTTCGACAAGATTCTCATCATTATTGTTTGCTGTGAGGACATCAAAAGAGGTAACAATGGTCACTTCCAACCATAACTTGATATTATAAAAAAAAAGTCGATCTGCACTGGCAACGTTTTTCACTTGTTTCCCACCTGACAGCCCTGAGAAACCGCGTGACATTTCTTTAATTACATCCAACTTGCTTCAGCCAATCAAAAGCACTACCCAGATCTAGGTAGAGTCACACCATCAGTATGGCCGGTATTTCTGCGCTCGGTCCTCGGAGGTCATTTCTCGGGGAAACCAGCGGTGGCCTCGCAAAATGTCGGCAGCATTTTTCTCAGGCAATACTCGGAAAATATCCTAAAGCTTACCTGCGTCTTGATCATTTCGTCAGTCTCTTTCTCGGATTCGTCTTCTTCCTCCTTTTGATCTTCTGCTTGAGATTCCTGTTCGGATTCTTCAAGAGCACCAGAAACATTAAAAAGCAGCGTGGTTGATTCATCACAGGATTTTTCATCCTCTGAGACATTTTCTTGAGTTGCACTGGCTGCTGCGATATCTTCAACATTGTTGTCGGGCGCGTAGTTTTCGTGTCGATTTATGGGCTGGAAAAAAAG